CGAATGCGCCTCTGTCCATTTCAAACCAAACTGATGCCCATAGATGCACGTTTAGAAGAGTTTCAATTGCATGGGAGGGAGTAGCCAGCTAGCTAGCTCTCTGTTTTGTTTGAACATCAACAAGTGATGTTACCCCGCCATTGCTGATACATTTAAAACATTTAAAACATTTCAAATTGCTGAAAATTTAAAACATTTCAAACACACTATTGGCAGAAGAGAAAAATAAATAATTTTATTAAGTTACAATTTTGTTTGATTCCATGATGTATTTTACTGAACATGAGTATTTACAATGCAAATCCAAATTATTGTAATTTACTGGCAAATACTTATCTTGTCTTTTCACTTTATTAAGATCAGATTCTGCATGTAAAATTACAATAATAAGGTGACTTGACTTGCACTTGACTTGACCTACTACAAGACTTGACTTGACTTGACTTGACATAGCCTGTGACTTGACTTGACTTGACTTGCCCCCCCAAAAAATACTTGGGACTTACTTGAGACTTGACGGTTAAGACTTGAGACTTACTTGAGACTTGCACATGTGTGACTTGGTCCCATCTCTGGTACACAGCCGCTGCATTTGGACTTTGAGTGGATGTCCCTGGGACGACGTCTACGGGCAATTAAATGTTCTACAACTCGTTATAAATTTACTTCTGTGCCTGAAGCAATATGGCTATGGCAATATGTATTAAAGGTGGCTTTTTTAAATAATTTATTTATTTTTTATGTATTTAAATGTATGTGGTAAGTGTTTTATGTGAGGCACCATGTAAGCTCAAACTAATCACCCCACAGGGATTAATAAAGCTCTAAACTAAACTTTATGATCATGTGACATTGAAGACTGGTCACAGGAATAAATTACATGTAATATTAAATGAAAAAAATATATTAAAACCGAAAACAGATTTGTTTAAATGGTATATATATATACTGTCAGACTAATTAACGTACTAATGTGCATAAGACTTTTGCACTGTACTACACACACTCTTTCAAATCCAATCAACAACCATGTTTGATAAGCAATTTTTAGCAGCAATACCATACATACGTGAAGTTGGACTTATTAAATCTTATTAGGGTCTCTTAAAAACAACTGATTTTATAGGTAAAATAAAAACAGGCTATGTTCTGCTATTATTAGTGTCATCCACACAAATGCATAAGCTTGCAGAGATTACCCACATACATATTATTATTATTATTATTTTATTTCCTTTTAAATTATTCTATTTAAAAAGGAACTGAAAGAAATCATGAGATTATTAATCAGGATTAGCTGGTGCCATGGCAGGGTTTTATGCACCGTAGCTCAGCACTGTGACAAGATGTCAAGAATATCAGCAGAGACAAAATGTTACGTTTTGTCATCTCCTCTTTCCTTCCATGGTGACAGCTACTCTCGTTCGTCTTTTGGTGCCATGCTGACGTTTAAGTCATTACTATAGTAACCGTGTAAATTCAATAGATTGGATCTCTTCACTTGCAAAAAGACAGATAAAGAATGCATCTGAAAAACAAATCAGAATTCAAGCCGATCACACAGAGATTGTATGTGTGAAGAAAGCCTTAGAGATCTCAGGTCCTGGGTGGAAGCTAAATCAAAGGCACTCAAATTGAGGTCAAATGCAAATGCAATGAAACGCTTGTATTGTGTGTGAATTGTCCGTATGAAACGGGTAAAATCCTGAAAGAATAACTGCACTGACAGACTTTGCTTACAACTGCTTGATATGCACTATCTAGATTTTAAAGCAGCTGCATATGATGTTTTTAAATGTTCCAATGTCATTTAAGATATCAAAGCTAAATCTCTACAGCTGAATTTGTAATAGATGACTTATTTCTACCTTTGCGTGGTACATGCGTCATACCGCCAGCCCTACATGAAGGCTAGATCTAGATCGACGATTTGCACCCAAACAGGATTAGCATAACCAAATCAGATCATATTTCCATTTTAATGGCCCATTTGAATGAATTTAATTAGAGATTTACATCCCAAAAGAAAGACCTCTGAAAGGGAGCAATAATGATCCCAGTGAGTTACCAGAATGTTTTCCATCATGATTAATTCTGGAGAGTTTCCTCATGAAAAATGCCTGTGCTGATATTCAGCCGTGCACTGTGCGATTCACCGCAGCTTCAATTTGTCAAAATCACAGTAAATGGGCTGTATGAAGAATGACATTCGGGTCTCATGCGGCATCAGCTCCACGGTCGCATTGAAACTAACACAGCCCTTAGTGACCTAGAGTTAAAGCTTTTAACAACTACACTAATTAAAATATTACACCGCTTTATCACCCTCACATCGCCTTCAAGTATTACGTTTAAATAAACAAGCAGCAAAATAAAAGAAAACATGCATTAAAGGTGCTATACTGGGGAAATTAATATGCATTTCTCAAAACGGTTAGTTCCAGTCCTGATTGGTCAATAGCTATTTTTAATTAATGATAAAACACTTTAACCGCCTCACTCAACGGTTCTACTATGTATCCCTCTACAACACTCCTAGCAACCACTCTTAGCAACGTAAACATATGTTCTGAAGCTTATAGAGTACAGTTAGAGTATAGTGAGAGATCGAGTAAGCATTTTCCATCAGGTCAGTCCTATATTCGTAATAATGAAATATACATTTGAATGTCTGCTGCGTTATCTTGTCCTTTTAACAGTTCTTCTCTAGTCTACTGACTGACTTGATTTAATAAACAACGGATTTCATTTAAAACGAAAGAAAACACACTGCTCTCTGCTTATGTCTAATCCGTCTGAAATGTGCAATCTGATCAATCAAAGATCGCGAGTCAGTATCGTCAACTGTATCTTTGCAGCCGACAATGACACAGAAAACACTTGTTTATTAATAAAAATGTAAATGTCTCCTTGCTATATTTAAAGGGTTAGTTCACCCAAAAATGAAAATTAAGTCATTAATTACTCACCCCCATGCTGTACCAACCCCGTAAGACCTTCGTTCGTCTTCGGAACACAAATAAAGATATTTTTGATTAAATTTGAGAGCTGTATAACTACCACATTGGCTCCTAAAGGACTGCCTCTTGACGGCCCAGAAAGTCAATGAAGAAAATGTTTAAATATCCCAAGTGACTACCGTGGCTCAACTATATGTTTATCAAGCGACGCGAATACTTTTTGTGCGAAAAAACAAACAAAAATAACGAGTTTATTCGACTATTTCTTTTCTTCCTTGTAGGCCAGAACGAGACTTCCTTAGATTTCCACGACGCATGCGCGAGATTTGCGATCTGCTCACATCAGCTTACACCACTTCAGATCGCAATTCTCGCGCATGCGTCGTGGAAATCTAAGGAAGTCTCGTTCTGGCCTACAAGGAAGAAAAGAAATAGTCGAATAAACTCGTTATTTTTGTTTGTTTTTTCGCACAAAAAGTATTCGCGTCGCTTGATAAACATATAGTTGAGCCACGGTAGTCACTTGGGATATTTAAACATTTTCTTCATTGACTTTCTGGGCCGTCAAGAGGCAGTCCTTTAGGAGCCAATGTGGTAGTTATACAGCTCTCAAATTTAATCAAAAATATCTTCATTTGTGTTCCGAAGACGAACGAAGGTCTTACGGGGTTGGTACAGCATGGGGGTGAGTAATTAATGACTTAATTTTCATTTTTGGGTGAACTAACCCTTTAACATATTCCTAATCATTACTTGTGCCGGTTCTTTGCGACAGCTTTTAGGTGCTTTATTGGCAGCCCCTCCCTTACATGTTACATGAAAGTGTCATCACCGCATACCGCACCTCGTTTTGTTGGTTTAGACCCATCTGCTAGCGATGGGGTACAGAGACTGAGAGAGCTACATGGAGCTACGTGGAAAAATATGCACCAAACAAACGTTACTTTTAAAGGGGTCATGAACTGGCTTTTTAAATTGTATTATATTGTTGTCTGAGGTCAACTTGTGACGTTCGCTTGGTTTTTGCATTCAAAAACATCAAAATGAATAAGTAATAAGCTATTTTTGTATCCTAGTTTTGAGCCTAGCTGAAAAACGCTCGGCTTTTATGGGCGTCTCGCACTGAAGATTTGGAAGTAAACGCCCACTGCTGTTAGTGGATAATAGTTTTGCATATTATAATGAGTTTGAACCCGTCGCTGCACTTGGAAATGGCAACTGGAATGATTCGCCCATACACGTTCGACCCAGAGTCCGTGTGTTGCACCATTCCTGTCAGATCCAATATAGACGGCATAGCACCGTTCTTTAATCTTAATCGGTCTGCAAATCCAGTCTTGTTTACAAAACAATCCTCAGTGAAATGAAGCGAACAGACGGACAATGTTTTACCTCATCAGCTGGAACGTCATTAAAAATAAAGTTTATCCATGCAGTCCAATTGGAATCCAGAGGAAGCTTATGCAGCGACTGTCTTCTTCCACAACCAGGCGCTGGACAATATTTATTGCTCGGTAGCTCGATCCGGTTTGTCATCACGAGGTAGGCCTATGTCATTTAGCTATGCGTGTAATGTGCAAATAGGCGGGTGGGGCCGTGTTGAAGTAGGGGTTGATCTTCTTCTGCGGGGGTGGTGTTTTATCCTCTTTGACGTCATAGTTCCCCACTTTGAAAAACGAGTCGTTTGCTGAGGCTGGTGTCAATAAAAGTTTTTAGTGGACTAACAAGGACGTTTTCAGTTCTGAAACTTACAGGATATTCTTATAATATGATGACCTCTTAGATGTCAAAAGCTCAAGGAAAATTTGATTTCTCAGTTCATCACCCCTTTAAATTTGGCTGTTTTCAAAGTTGGGTGACCCTCCCCCTAGACTAAAAAAAGTTGGATGACCCTCCCCTCAACAAAGAATAAAAAGACATGACCCTCCCCTATTTTCCTCCGGGGGTCCATTCCATAAATACCAAACGGTCCCTTATTGCTTACAAACATTCATTCAGAGTTCAAGAATATTTGAGAGCACAGATATGTTGGTGTCTTACCTGCGGTCGGGTAAGATCGGCACCCTCCAGCCCTTGATGAAGCTCAGTCTGTTGTCTGAGAGCTCCACTTTAAGGGGCAGTTTGGGCACCCAGACAGTGAGCTCAAGAGGGGCACTCAGGTGCTCATAGCTGAAAATCACCCGAGCGTTCATGGAGCCACGCGTCTCTTTTCCATTCACAAACACATAGTCACAGTTCATGGACACCTGTTGAGGAGAGCAAAGAGAGGTTTGATTGCTTTCACCGCATCCTCTGGAGAGTCTGCACAAAACAAAAGCTGTTCACGGGCAACTGCAAGGATGCCGGTTTGTAATAGGCGTGTGCATTAAAACACATCAAAATTAATTAAATATCAATATTTGCTGTGAAATCCCCTCAAAATGATGCCGACTCCACAGCAGACTACCCGACAGTCTACACAGCAATGCTTCACCCTCAGATGGGGACCGAAAAGGCCTTTTTTTAGCATCTCACATCATGAGCAACCACTGCATTGGGCTACGTTCAGCTGTTTTTGAACCAAGAATGCATCCTATCTATGTGAACAGCTCCAATGTAATAATTGTATTAGCTAAATAACACATTAAATTAAATGACAGGCGTAGTTTCAAATTAATGTTCTTTCAAATCAATTAGCACCAGAAAGGGTTAAAGTGTCATTTGAAAAGCATTAAGTAAACCATGGAAATAATCCATTCAAAAGTATTTTTAAATTGCAAAAGAGGTCTTTTTACTTGAAACATGTTTCCTAAAATAACACCCCATAGGAACTGGGTCTGACAGCTTTTTTCCTGAGGCATTTTTTTTTTTTGAAGCAGCAGTTTGTTATTCACGGCATTCTGCCTTTTTTTTCTGAGCACACAAACACACACGTCAATGAACACACTGCACACACTTTCAAATCTCCAAGTTGTGGAAATTGCATTAACGCACCCAAAGGGTTACCAAAGAAAATTAAAGAATAGTCCCCCCCTCCGTTATTCCTTCTGGTCTGCCAACACATTTCATATGTACAGTCAGCAGTCTTTAATAATAAATTATTTACTGTAATAGATAGCTGAAGCTTTACTTCTGGGTTCCATCTATGATTTATCTAGGGGTCTAAGGCAGCTGACACTGTAATCAGAACCTAATCTCCCTCAAATGGAGGTCGGGAGCTGCAGTCCATCCAAGACTGTAGATTCATCATAGAAGGGGATATCTGTGTAATAAAATATGTAGGACTGCTAGACAGCTCCCTCTCTTATCCATACCATCAATACGGGGAATTGATCAGAGGAGATGTCTCTCTCCCTAGTAGCCTTTAGGAGAACCTGCAGGGGAATCTCTGCTTGCCCACTTCATTTCTTTTTTAAAGGGACTGTTATTCGTTGAGAAAAACTATGAATAATACTGCTGAAAAAAATGGCATATGGTGAAAGAGAACAGAGGATAACAGCACAGGAGGTACAGAGAGCGTTTTTCATGTGCAAATGAAACATTTCCATTTCCGGTAACACTTCCTTTTACAGTACAGTACTTACAGTGTACTTACCTAGAAAGTAATCACTAATATAAGGTAAGTACATGGAACAGGGGTAGGTTCAGGGTTAGTACTAGTTATTACCCAGTAGTTATTAAAATAAGTGCATAGTATTTACATGGGTAACTGGACTGTAACAGGAAGCGTTACGACATTTCCTTCCTTGCTTGAAACCTTGCTAGTTAAGTTTTAATAGAAAAAAAAGAAACAGTAAAAGTCATACTTTTAAGACCCCTTATTTTAGGGGTCCAAGTAGCTTTATGTATTCTTTCAAGGCAGCTGCACAGCCAATCAATTTCTTTTTCTTATCTACACAACCTTATTTGTTCCCATCCCAAACTGCTCCAGCTGAGTACAGTGTGCTTGATCATTTTCTTTAGCCTTCCTCCACCCCTGTCTAGGGTCTGCTATGGGGTTCTCCTTACTTTACATTGTAGCAACCATTGCACCAAGATCATTCATACCTACACTCAATTCTTATCGATAAAATGCTGGTAAAATCTATTTTGAGACTATTTTAAAGGGACAGTTCACCCAAAAAGGAAAATCCGGTCATCATTTACTCACCCTCAAGTTGTTCCAAACCTATATGAATTATTTTTTTCTAACTCCGGCGCAAAATGAACCTTTGGTCTAATAAAACATTGGTACCTAGTCATCAAACCGTTCTTTGAGATTTGTTTACATGATAATCGATTGTAAAGAGTTTTATCTCTAAAAACTGTTTAGCGAGGTTCTGAGGGCATTTACTAAGTAAAAAGAAATCGCTAGTTTATACCACTAACAAGGCTCAAAATTGCCCCACACTAACACAGTAACATAATGAGGGTCCATACATGCAAAACGAAGCATTGAGAACTTTGTAAGTGTACAGACCGTTTAATAAGAAGATACTTTATACAGACAGTTCACTTCGTGTATACAGACAGGAGCCATCTTAGAAAACAGTCTCGATAAGTCGATCCCCGGACGCCGTTCATACAGTTCAGCTCACTCAGCACAACGTTCGTGGTTTGAATTGTCGTGACTGTTTTCTGTGGCTGTTTGGGTTTCGATTTTCGCGTGATGGCACGTAAATTTAGCTTCAAAATTTTGTTTTTACGTGCGTCAGTTTCACTCTTGCCACGCAAATTAACACAAAGTGGTCAAGCGTAAAACTAGATGAGGTAGATGCGAATTTGACACTATTCGCGTCCGGTGTGAACGCACAGTGACCACAGCTCAAAGGCTGTCGTTCCAACCACACAACCTTCCGAAGCTGTTTGCAAATGTTCGTTGGAACAATGGTTTCGGGAAACATCTACTCGTTTAACTATTCTGATAACGACGGGACTTGCGACCATAGTTGGTTAACGATGGTTTCGGGAAACGCATCCTTGTTTGCATCCCAATCAGGAAAACTACACAATGTTAGCTCAACCAATGGGAAAAGTTCAGGGCTGTACAATGTGTTCTGTCGACCAATGAGGGGGAGTATTCAGAAAATTACACGCATCACACCTTCAAACAGCTTGGATATTCCTCAAAATATTTCCTTGTAAGAAGGAGAATAAATGTAAATGCCATGAGGGTAACATACTGATGGACAGAATTTTCATTTGTGGTTGAACTATTGTTTAACAGTAATATTAAAGGGATAGTTCACTTTGAAATTGATTTTTGATATGTTTTAGCTTACCTCAAGGGCATCCAAGATGTAGGTGTCTATGTTTCCACAGTATTTTCAATTTTGACATTTTTCAGTCAAACCGTTGTTGTCTATCAGTCATACACTGGAGGCTAAGGGGGTCCACCAAAAAGCATGCACAGAGAAGTCAAAATTAAACATGATTTAATGACTCATAAATGTAAGTACACATTGATGGCCTAAGACACGAAACGAGCGGTTTGTGTGAGAAAACGAACAGTATTTATATCGTTTTTACCTCTTGTAATCATAGCCATGACAAAATGATCTGACAGCACGGGCGCTTCGGTCTGCGCAATCTTTGTTAATACAGAGATTTCGGAAGTTTTACCTTTCACTAAACATATTTAGATATACGGGAAACCGCAATGGAAGACGATTTCGGTATATCTAAATATGTTTAGTAAAAGGTAAAACTTCCGAAATCTCCGTGTAAATATTGAGTGACGTCACACGCAAGCGATCACTTCCGGCGGAACATTGAACTGATTCAGTTCGGTTCAGTTGGACATTGCACAACTGATTCAGATCACTTGGACGTCACTGTGATTACACGAGGTAAAAACGATATAAATACTGTTCGTTTTCTCACAAAAACCACTCGTTTCGTGTCTTAGGCCATTTACGAGTCATTAAATCATGTTTAATTTCGACTTCTCTGTGCATGCTTTTTGGTGGACCCCCTTAGCCTCCAGTGTATGACTGATAGACAACAACAGTTTGACTGAAAAATGTCAAAATTGAAAATACTGTGGAAACAGACACCTACATCTTGGATGCCCTTGAGGTAAGCTAAAACATATCAAAAATTAATTTCAAAGTGAACTATCCCTTTAACACTTGTAAGCCCAATAAAAATAGTCACTATGAAAAAAAAAGTCATTGTAACTATCAAATAGTGTGGGTGGGTGGCACACAACAGAAGCAGCAGTAGTTTTGCAGTGTTGCTCATGTCCTGTCTGGTTCCCACTGCACTCTACAGTCTTGTGAATGTGTTCCTGCTGTGCCACTTCTGTTGATGTGAGCTCAGTCTTGACCCACTTGCTCCTGGGGCTTCTAATAAACTTGGATGGATAATTTTTAAGTCAAAAGCAGTTAAGGACTGTGGGCATCAGTAGCCAGCAGGGGCCGGCTGGAAGTACTTTTTACGTGCCAGCCAGCAGTCAGAGTTCCACGGAGTCACTAATCTGCCCTGGCACCTCGCGTGGTTCTGGAGGAGTGGCAAAGGCGAGGTCAGGATAGTGCCACCCATCGAGAGGCCTCCAGCTCCACACACCCGCCAGCTGTGTTTAATCCAACAAACACCTCCTGTAACCCTCCACCATCCAGGCTGCCGTCACACAGTTAAGCAGATGCACTTTTATCTGTGTTGATGGTATCATGCAAAGGCCGACTATACATTGTTAAAGATGAACATACTGCCGATAGCTTGAAGCAGAAACTGGTGATTTGATTTAATTTGACAGGTAGCCTCTACAGAAACAGATTGGTTTCGCATTTAAAACACTGGTAGAAAATAGAGAGTTCCAGTACTGAATGCTGATAGGTCAATTCAGCGTTCCAGCTCTGCTAAATTAATTCAATAAGACTCTGGCCAAGCTATATTGTGAATATAGTCACTACAAAAATGAGTTGTACCAAAATTGTAATTACCGATATTAATAATAATAATAATTCATGACATTTATATAGCGCATTTCTTGTCACTCAAAGCACTACATTGAAGGGGGAATCTCCTCAACCACCCCCAATGTGCAGCATCCACCTGGATGATTAGTATCAATTAGTATACCAATCAGTATATATATATATATATATATATATGAAGAGTTCAGATGCAAAAGCCTCTAAGTGCCATTTGAAATTATCTTCTAGAATGATGATTTTTTTATCAAGCTTGTATATTTAAGTTCAGTGATTTCACTTAAATGGCAATGATAATTACCTATTAATTACTGAACTTAAATATACAAATTTGATAAAAATCATCATTAAAGAAGAAAACTTTAAATGGCATTTAGAGGCTTTTGCATCTGAACTCTTCATATATATATAGGGATGATCCATTATATTAGATTTTTAATATTTGATTTTTGTTTTTACATTTACATTTATTTCACTGTCAACTAGGGTGACCACCTGCTAATAAGCCCAAGGGGGGACAAGGGGTATGTTTCTGAGGGACAATGTGGGACACTGCTTGGGGCGGCGGTGCCCCCACCCCACGGGCAGACTCTGATAGTGGTTTACCCATATCTAGAATTGTTACTATTGCCTTACTGTTTGTACATGAATAATTGTTAAAAAAAAAAGCAATTATTACCTTAGCACATGCATTAATAATGCCCTATTCTCTAAACATGTGTAATTGCTGATATATTCTCATGAATAGGCCAACCAATGTGTATTTGTTTTCTAAATAAAGATGAATATTTTGAACATTCAATGAATTGACAGCACTTCCACTTACGATTTACTTTAGCTATTTAATTTTATTTATTTTTTATTACAATTAATTCACTTTAAATCAATAAAAGTATAAAATTATAGGATTAACAGGAATTATAGTTGCTCAACACCACAGGAACAGTTTAAAAAAAGTCGAAAAAAAGTCTAAACTCACAACTCCAGAGGTTCACGGAATGAGAAGCTGCGCTGTCATGACAACAATGAAAAAGTTGACATCAACCTAGTCAGCAGGTCACGTGGGAGTGGCAACCAGTCTTGATGAAGTTCACTTTCTACATGAACTAGTTCAAAGTTCAGTTCACACATTTTAAAATGAACTAGTTAAGTTCAAGTTTGCACAGAAATGTAAGATTTTTCCCATCTTCACCGACCTCGTTATAAAATCCGTTTAAATTATCATATGACGCCTTTGTCGACGGCGGCCGCGGTGCGACACTGGTGGCTTGTGTTGCCAGATTGGGTGTTTTTTCGCTACATATTGAGCCCTGTTTACGGTGAGTTTTAGCAGGGTGTTCGCCTGGAAGGCTCTATAGAAATCTGGCACCCCATTGAATGAAGTTAAACTGAGAGAGCGTGCGTTCAGAGACACCAGAATGAACGAGTTCACACGTTCATCAAGACAGGCAGTTAAACAATACGTTCAGTTCACCCAAAATATGAACAAGTTCATGAACGTGAACGTGTTCAGGCACAACGTTTGGCTGCCTGCGTCTCGAGGATAAAGAGTGACCGACTTTTTTTGAGCAAGCATTGATTATGCGTGACGCGGTCTCAATTTGCGGGACGCATGAATTGGGCTTCAAACGCTGTGCGCGCACGCGCTACGCGGGACGGGTGGTCACCCTACTGTCAACACTCACTTAAAGTAAAATTATATATATATATATATATATATATATATATATATATAAATTAATTAATAGTTTAACAACATTGTTAAATGTAATCTTGCAAATTTCAACATATAATACATTTCAAAATAGTATTATATTTTATTTTAGCTAAATTATTAGTTATATATCAAATAATATATTTTTTAATAATTATCAGCTTATCTGTTTTAGCCAGAATTTAAAAATGTTATTATATACACTAAATACATTAAGTGCAATCCTTACACCATGTAAATTACATATGATAAACATATTTTGCATATTTCGTAGTACAAAATGAATTCTGTATAGACCAATCAGTATTAAAACTATCCATTTTATAGTATTTATGCTTTACAATAAACCTGGGATAGGAGAAAGTATTTTACCATTTAAAAGAACAAAATACATCATCTTTAAAGGCCGAAGATAATCACGTGACATTTGCTATTATTATACATTATACATATTATTCAGTCATTGCACCGGAATCAAATTGCGTGACTCATCTATACGTGGTGATTCATGTCTAAATGCGTGTTTGCTGTGTTGGGAATGTGTGCAGTGAGGATTCCGGAATGGGAACGTGTGTTCTCAGATGGCCCGTGTGACTAGCTGAGCTTTGAGAGGAGAGATCAGCTGGGAGAGACTGTTCACAGATTCCTGCTTCAAAACACAAAGCCCCACAGGGTCTCATCATTCAACACACAGATATAACACACAGAGCGATGCAGACGTTCATTGCACACAAAAACAAAAACACCGACAAATAACTATACCATCCAAATGTGTGCACAAATTTCAAAAGATACACCGCACTGGTCTTATTTTATTTCCAGCCTGTATACAGAACCTGCGGCAAACATGATATTAAAAGTCATTTCCATGCATGCAACATAAAACGTCATTCTCACAGCTCTACATGTAACCATCTGTTCTGGTGTCCCTGTGCAGAAGTAAAAGCTTTGGCTCTAGGCAAATACGCCGGGTTTCAATAGATACTCGTGACTACCTTTTGAAAAAGATAAGCAAAAAAAGATGTTAGTGGGCCCTGTAACTTCTGCCTTCTTTATGACGCTTTTTTTTTTGCCACTGCACAGAGCATTTTATTGAACTGTCAGGACTCATGTTGTCTCAGCTTGAAGGGCTCATCTTGAATTAGCCTCCAAAGTTCAATAGCCCGGGCGGCCAAGCAAACCCACTCAATAACACCAGAGCTAATGCTCTGCCCAGGCACTGCAGCACACAAGGCTATTCTGAATCTTAAAACAGATAAACAAAGGATGCCCTCACGGCCCCTCTCGGATGACTTATGGATCTCAATCTTGGCGGACAGATGACACTCCGAGGCATATTATTATTTCGCTACATTTTTGATACGGTTTATAGTCGAATTAGATTTCCCCTTTCAGATTCTGCCGTGCTATGGAGCAGATGGTGAATATTGCTGAAATGATTGTTTCCTTCAGCAAAGGACACTGCAAAATGTTTTCGTCCTGTATTTACAAGCCCTCAGGAGGAACCAACTGCCCCCTTGTGCAAATAAAGAGAAATAAATGCATTCATTGACTCAAATACACAAACTTAGCGGAACTCAATCCAAGAACCAGATTATGAGGATTTAAAGAAGTAGCTCTCAAAGCTTTTTGACCCAAAGGTCTCCTACTGTACAGTAGGTTACTGTAAACGGATAATGTTGATATTTTTTTTTTATCACTCTAAGGGCCAGATTTACTCTTTTGATGTTAAAAAAAATCCTGTCAGAGTCATGCTAATTTGACCTGTTTAGTAAATCTGGCCCTTAAAGTCATACATTACTGTCAAAAGCCAGAATTTTCTTTTAGGAATATGTCCATATTGTTGTATAAACAAACCCCTCAGTAAAAACCTTTAGTTACTTTTAAAAAAAAGTTTTGGCTGCAAAATAGCCTAAAAGCTCAAAATTATCCAGTGGTTTGGCTGCAGTGTCTTGCCTTAAAGGGATACTTCAGGATTTAGCATTAAGCTTTGTATTAGTAGAAAACCTCAGCGCAGTCTCATCCCAAGACGTCATATAACTGATGTCTTGGGATGTCTTTTGACCATACGTCAACATCCGCCGTTTTAGGGTACCCTTAAACGTCGGTTAGATGACGTTATCGGATCCTAACCCTACCCCAGACCTAAACCTACCCCTAAACCTAACTGACGTTAAAGGTAAAGCGTCAGTTGTATGACGTCCCAGAATCGTCATGTAACTGATGTTAAAGGGTACCCTAAAATGGCGGATGTTGACGTATGTTCAAAAGACTATGTTCAGTTATATGACGTCTTGGGATGAGACTGTGCTAAAAACCTGTAGTATTTTCAAATGACCATGCTTTCCACCCTCATATCCCCCTGAGACAAGAGATTCATGTATTTTATATGCACACCATTTGTTTTGATCTATCTACATTCAGATTCACCAATCGGAATGAATTCACTTTTTACATGAACGCTAAACAAGTGATCGTTTGATGTGCGTTTTAACATTGCTAAGAAAATCCCTGCTCCTCCGTGAGAGATACGAGACCGGTGCGTCTCACAAGTGTCACTCATCGGTAATCACGCCACCGGCCTCGTGTCATTCTCCCGTGGCCGTCACTCATCCTGCTCGCCACAGTAAACATAATGAATGGCAACTGTAGAACGCAAAAGCCGAATCCCGGTCATTTTTGCCGATCTCAAAACACATTTTCGGGCAGACTCATCACGGAGACTCACTAGTAGCCTTGACTTGTTGTTTAACTACTGCGCGCTGTTACCGGTAGGCGTGGCCTCCTAGGGGAGTTGTTGTCTTTCATCCGCATAAGCCAAAAATAAATTTCTCAGTCTAGAAAGCTCAAAATTCAAAAATAATTTCACATTTCTTCTACACAAATGACCCATTTTAAATACACATTCATCTTTCTGGAGGTGAAGTATCCCTTTAATAAAAATAGCTTTGGTGCACTGCTTTCTAGGAGACTATTCATTTAACAGCATTAAACACAGGTCAAGTGTGTGATGTCTGCGGCTGTTCAGTGGGAGATGTTGTTCTGTAGAGTGCTGAACACTTTTGATGTACTGTCTAAGACTGAAAAGGCATCGATCCCTCTAGGGGATCACAAGAGCAGTGGCCACAGGAGCATATATAAACTCAGCTTAAATGAGGTTTTGATGGTCATTTTATGGTCTCTTAAGCTGTCCACGATTGATTAGGAGAATAGTAGACGACATCCTAGTTCACGAAACCTCTCAACGTGGGCGTGACGTACCTTGACGATTTCCTCGTTGAATGACTTGCACTGCACAAAGGATGACACATCAGTGACTGCTCCGTTTATCTCAATGGAAACCACCTTGACAGGGATGGCCACAGTTCGGCCAGTAAGGACTGCCGTGTTGATAATCTCAGTGTCCTGAATATGGAAGAGAGAGAGAGAAGCGAGAGCATGGGTTAGGAGGTTAGCAGAAGTTCACTGCTCCCAAAAATCTGAATGTTCAGGAAAGCCCCGGAGTCAGTGCTACACTGCTTACATACTATCTATTTTCAATTCAAAAGCCACGAGCAAGAAAAATGTCCAATCAATAAAAATTCCAGTCGACTGGTTTTGAAACTAGAGACACTTGAAATCAGAAGAGCTCACATCCTAGGAATTTGTCCCCACAGATTTAGGCGACAAGGCAACTTATTTAAAATATGTGTATTTTTGATAATCAAATAGCATGGTTATTGTAGAATAGTCAAAATATTCAATTCAATTCAAGTACAGTAAGGTAGTTGCTGTAGTGGTTATGTTTAGGGGTGTAGAATATGGTCATACAGAATAAGGCGTTAAAATATGCTTTATAAAGTACTAATACAACCTATATGGTAGTAATATGCATGCTTAAAAGCAACTAGCTAATAGTGAATAGTGTTCCCTAATCTAAATTCTTAACAAGTAATTCAATATTGTATAATACATGTCTAGTGTCTACAATGACCAAGTGAGCAAGACACCTAACCCCAGCTGCTCCCGACGAGCTAGATGGCGCATTGCACGGCTGACACTGCCGTCGTTGAATGAATGAGAGTATGAATGGGTGAATGTGAGGTGGCCATTGGGTCTGTGAAAGCGCTATATAAATGCAGTCCATTTACCATTTACAATGCAGTCACCCACTACATCATATAAACACTCTCAAGAAGAAGAAGAAACACACACACACACACAGACATAATACCTTAATGCACCACAAACGGATGTCACTACATGAATCACAACAAGGGTTACAACCAACGGTCATTGGAAAACAGAAACAAATTCATCCTGACATCACAAGACAACTCAAGTTACTACTTGTAACATCATCATCAACAATAACAATGTAGATAAAACTGGCATACAGTCAAACAATGCAACCATATCCATTATTCATGCCCCAGTGCACGCCGGGAAGCAGGGCCGGAGTAGGGCCAATTTTCAGCCCGGGAGTTTAATGCTGCTTTCCAAGGCTCTCTCACTGAAAAAGAAATAGACACTTGCGCTTTCCGAGTCCTGTGTAAAACTGCCTTTATTTCTAAGTGGCACTGCTGGTCCAATTTATGAGCCGCCCACCAGGAATTCTCCTGATGGCCACTCTGGGCCTGCTGGGAAAAGTGCAAATGGGGATGAACCACAAAACCAGTATAGGCCAATACAACGCAAAAAGGCATTCATCTAACTCAAATGATGTGCTTAGTTTGTCTGATTTAAGAAAGTAATTTTTTGTAATCAAAAATCATAACTGAAATGCTGAATTGGGATGCATTTCTTGTTTTTATTAAAGTCCTAAGTTTAAAAATCAACAATAAGTAAATATTTGGCTATTTTTCAGCATTATTTTCTGGAACTCACATAACTTTCACAGATCCCCTGCTTGTAAAAAAATGCATTAAATTGTGATTCTGTAACATCTTGTCTCTTATTTCTGAAAATATCTTGGCAAAATTCTCGTTTAGTGCAGAAAAATAGTCATTTATAGTGGCAAGCTGAAAGTACTCTCTTTCTCTAATGTGACCATTTCTCAAACACTCAACTCTTAACACTACAAAGATATTTTACCTATCAAAATAAACCACATAACATGCACAGTGAAGGTGTATCAGTGCGCATTTCACGCCAATCCTGTTTAAACTGTAACGACACGCAGTTTTATAACGTTATCTCGAGATGGAGGAGAACAAGAAAAGAACAGTCTGAAATAGCTGCTCCGGTCTGGCTCGCCTCAATCTGTTAATTCCTGATGTCAGTGCCAAAAAAGATGTCATAATGAACTGAATTTTGAGTTTGCAAGCTTTTCAAATTCATGATGATTACAAAAATATGTGATATGAAAAAAAGGCAATTAAAAAAAAGAGTGCCAAGCGTCCTGCTAGCAGCACGGTGACAGTTAATTAAACCTGTTTTTCTCAAAAGTCCGTTCCTGAAAATCATAGCGATCAGCCAACTTCAGATAAACATAACTTTTGCTACCAACAAGCTATGAAAAAAACAAAAACAGTCTGGGAAAGGGCTTGATACCAGCTTTCATATGGATATATAATCCAAAATTATATGTAATAGGTCAAATTTCACCATGAGGTGGGTTTTCCCAAATCACATCACATATTGATGAGCGTGAGCGGGACAAAATAATTCTTTTTTCATTCTCCTTTCATGGTCCATAAAGGACATACGGCATGAGGACAACAACAGGGTGAGTAAATTATTATTTAATTTTCACTTTAGGGTGAACTATCCCTTCAACTTGTCATAGTCATGGTTTCGCTTTTTAAAAATATTAAAAGAAGTGAACATAACTCAATATACAGATAAGTGAAAGCGCCGTAACAGTGTTATGACCTACATTTTCTAGTTAATTGTATCTTGTGTGCTGTGCCAAGGACATTAATGAAAATTAATGAGCTGAATTACTAAAATGAATTAAAATAAATGGCAAGAGCATCTTCAGTAATGTCCACAAGAGATTACATAATATTCCACTAGCTGTGAAGCATTTAAAGATCTTTTCTGGAATCAAGGCTAAACCAGGATATGAATCTAAATCTTAAAATGGTTAATAAAATAGTAAAAGAGAAGAATACATCCCGTAAAACGTATGAAGATTGAAGAAAAGGATGCACATGTTCAACGGTGTCAATTGACAAACTCAAATGGGATTGAGGTTCTCATTCACTTTGTACAAACCTCTCGGGCTACGGCAGTTACAGCACTCCACGGTAATGGATTAACTTTGAAAATACTCTTGTTCATGAGCTTCCCAATTTAAAAGTTTTCCTGTTGGATAACACATGCAAATAAATCTATGCTTTCAATTACATCTCAAAAGCTGAAGCCAATTAAAGAGCACATTGGCTTTCGCAATGGCTTTCCAAGAAAAAAAATCAATTCATTATTTTGGATAGAATTGCTGCAGGGATGTTGCACAACTAACTGTAAATTATTTCCCTTGTGGCCCACAGGAATAAAGCAAAGATTATGCAGCTCTCTCTCCCTCAAGCTTCAATCAAAACAGCACATTCGAGGAGAAACTTTCCACTGAGCCCCTTTGCTTTAAAGCAGGCATTTAATATAGTAGAAATAAAAGCATACTAGTATGAATGCAAAATCCGCAGTCTTATTTGAACTGGTTTTCAATCAACAACACTTTGTGTTGTTCTTTTAAAAAGACATTTAACATGTTTTTATTTCCAGAGGGCCCTTTCAGTGATCAGGGAGGGTTGACAATAATGTAAACTGCTAATATAAACTGCTTTTAAGGTGCGGCACCAGTCATTGATAGTGATAATGCAGAACATATGTGAGGTTACAGATGAGGTGTCATAGGTGGAATAGATACTAACATTTCAATGGGTTTGAATTTTTGTTTTAGCATGTGATGGGCTGGTCAACCATCCAGGGGTGGGGTAATAACTTCTGCTAATTCGTTATATTGAAATCAAATTAAAGTCAAATTGTTGCTGTAAATACCGAACATTTTGAGGACTACTTTGAAATATATTTTTTTGTTTGTTTGCAGATTTAGCTGCTAGGGTGCTAGAGCATTTGCACATTCAAAAATGGCACTTTCATTTTTTTAATAGACTACTACAAGATGTAAAATGAAATACACAGATTGTACTACACTGTAAAAAAATATTGATGGTTTAACTTAAAAAAACTAAGTAACCTGGTTGCCTTAAATTTTTAAGTTCATTGAACTGGAACAAGTGAGTTAATACAATGAAGGAGAATGATTTAATCATCAGAAACTCAAAATTATATGTTATCTGAACTAAATAAATTATTTAAGTTGATTTTACAAAAGAAAAAATGGTGTGATTACTATACTGTAAAAAATATTGTTGGTTTAACTTAAAAAGTAAGTAACCTGTATTGCCTTAAAATTTTAAGTTGATTGAACTGGAAAAAGTGAGTTAATACAATGAAGGAGAATAATTTAATCATCAGAAACTCAAAATAATAAGTTATATCAACTAAATAATTTGACAAAAGAAAATATTTTGTGATAACAAATCTTGAAAATATTTTTTACAGTGTACACATTATATATTCTATGGACTATAATTAACTAACTACTGTACATGTCAACTAACATGCCAGTATTATTTGTTTTTAATATTTGCTAACACTTTATTTTGATGCTGCCCTAAAAGACATTCTACTGACTATAAGTAACTTTGCAAGTACGTCAACTAACCCGAATCATAACCTAGTAGTCTTCTAATACTCCAATGAGAGTGAGTTGACATGTAGTTGCAAAATTATTTATAGTTAGTAGAAGTGGACTATCGAAATAAAGAATTACCATAATAACAATCACAGTGGAATAGCACCATGGGATTTATCACTTGTCACATTATTGCATCACAAGTCAGGCTGTATGACTCATTTCATAAAAAAAAAAAAAAATCACATTTATTCACATTTTTTGCATGAAAAAAGTCACCAGATGAAATGGGTCATAAATGTTCGACTTGGAAATAACGTCTGAATTAGGTTCTCTTTAATATCTCCCCACTGAGCAAATGAGTTATTAGCTGATAATTACTCTGATAGCTTTAGCTGAAACAGCATAATCATAATTTTCATTCAAAGTGCATTACTGGCCTGCCTGCCTTGTTTAAATGGAAGTCTTGGGTACTGGCACTAAGAAATAAAATTCATTATATGCCCATGCAATGGCTTTTCATCCTGCAGCCTACCAGCTCAATTCCTTCCCTGACATCTCATTTTTATGCAAGGTAAACTTTAAAGGTCAACAACATCCACCCATTGAATTTATTTAATTCATACGATTCATGTTCAGGAAAAGCCTTTTGTGCTGGTGTTACCTACCGCTGTCATTTCCTTCACTCCAAGCAAAAAGCTGAACAGATGGTCATGGACACATA